GTGTGTGTGTGTGTGTGTGTGTGTGTGTGTGTGTGTGTGTGTGTGTGTGTTGAGGGCAGAGGTTGCTGAAACTTTACCAACAAGGCCCTCAAAGATTGTAAACCCAAATACCCTGTCCCATCCCACCAGTGAGGAACAAGGATGAGGAAGGCTAGCAGAAGGATATGAAGCTGCAAGGCAGGGAGAAGCTATAGCCTTCTCCACCTTAAAACCCCCTGAGCATCTGAACCTACAAGCCAGACTGAGCACATCTGCCGGGCACTTACCTCGTGGACCCAGAGAATGTCCTTTGCCCAGAGACATGGAGGCAGGGAGCCAACCCTGGTGTTAGAAATTATTGATTGAAAGATTTAATCAGGAGAAGGCCATAAGTGTAGTGTCCTTAAAACTGCAAACAACATAAAGGTCATTATTTAACTTAGCTTGTTTTAGGATTTTTTTTTTTTCAGGGAGTCAAAATACAATACAGACAGTTGGAAATGTGAAAAAAAGTTATCCCTTGTTCCTCTGTTCTAGAGCAATTCTTGTTCCCTTGGAGGCATTCCCTGCAGACTGTTTTCCTGAATATGTACTTAATGTAATCGCATTCTGTTCCCTGAGCATGTAATGACTTCCCAAGGTACGAATCTCCACAGTTTTAAGTACTGCATAATATTCCATCAACCTAATTTTCTGTAGCTACCACACTCTCCTATGCTATATATTCAGGTCGCTTGTAAGTTTTCACCATTATAAATAATGATCAATCTTTATACAGTGGCTTTTTTCACTTTTCAAATTATTTTAAGACAGAATCCCAGAAGCCAAAGGCTTGCTAGCATTCCAGGGACCCCTGAAACAGGCGGCCTTCCTACTTGTACCATCTGCAGTCCTCTGATTACTCATAAAATATAAAGTGGGTACAACACTGGTCCCCTCCTTCACACACACACACACACACACACACACACACACACACACAAAGACAAAGCTGATGAATGGCATTATAAAAATTACACAGAAGAAGAACAGATGGGAGAAATAAAAAGCAAAGCAGTCTTTGATACTAACCATAGGGTCTGTGCAATAAACACCCATTTCTGATCCTTCAAATGAACATCTGAAAGTGGATAATAATTTCAAGTTAGACTCCTCCACACTAACTCACGTAATAGGCATTCTGCCCTAATGACCACCTGCTCACAGAGAGACTTCGAAAGACTGCTCTTTATCTGGACTGGTGTGACCCCCTTGCTGACACGGCCATTCACGCTCTCCCACAGGCCACTTACTGGGCCCCAATCCGGGTTAGTTCCATCACTTGTTTCCATCATTCTTTTCCCTCCTCAACTGCAAAGGCTTTTCAGCGGGCAGACTGACAGCAGGGCTGCTGGTGGCTGTGGCTAGCATGGAATTAGGCTGAACTGTGTGGGTCAGCCTTGCTCCACGCTCCCTCCTCTGCCAAACACTGACCAGGTGGGAAGGACCACAACCAAGGCGCTAAACCCTTCGTGTCTGCCTTCAACCATGTTCACTCTGCTGCTGCAAGTCAGTTCCAACACTCGTCCCTGGGCTGTGTCCTGCCTTGACAGTTCCCTTGTAGAGGAGGAAGCCAGGGAGGGGGACAGGCGGGCGGGGGGGCGGGGGGAGGCAGAAGGCTGGCTCTAATTTAAAACCGTCTTAGGAGCTCTGAAAAGTTCCAGGTTGACTGATGGACACATTTACTCCCCAGAACCTTTTTTCCTAAGTACCTACTACTTAACTTATTCCCAAGAGGAATAAATACCGTCCGTGTGTGTCAGCCTTATGGGAGGGAGATTTCCAGAGCCCCTTCTTCCCTCCATGGCTCAGGGCCACACGATGACAGTCCTGTGAAAGCTGTGCCCTGAGAACATGGCAGTCACACCCATCCCACCGAGACTGGCCTTCTCAATCTCTGCCCCGCAATGCTACTTGCCTTCCTTTGCTTCGGGGAAGGTGGTAGCTCATTTCTTGTAATTGGGTCCACGGCTAAGACTGGGGGGCAATCGAAGATGTATTTTGTCATCCACTCGGGCCAAATAAAGTAACTCTAATAAATACTCAGTCCAGAAGACAGAATGGTTCCTGGGGCTGTTGGGATCATGTCTTATTTAAAACCTTCCTTTTTGTGTTATTTTCTCCTTGCTCTCATTGGAACTGTAGGGGCCTGAAGGCAGGCATGGTGTCCCTCTGGTAGAGGGACAGCGGGCTCTGCAGGGGTCGGGGCCCTGCCGCAGGTACATGCAGCCAGGTAGCCCCGCCCTCCTGGACAAGAGCAGTCAGCTTGACACTTCTTTCCTCCCGGATGGCAGGTCACTAGCCCCAACGTGAGAAAATCTATGCTGGAACCTGACTCGGCCTGTGTGCACAGGGCTATCAAAGAAAGAGAAAACAGGCTTTCAGACGGAGCCTGTCACTGGGAAGGGAGAGAGCTCCAGGGCCCACAGCAGGGCTGCTGGTGGCTGTGGCTAGCATGGTTTAGCCTCAGCGAGCCAGTCGTCTGTTTGTTGCCACTACCTGGCGCGTGTGCGAGGCTGAGGAAGGGAACACCCAAGGAGACAAGCCAAAGAGGGGCTCTGCAATCTTCAAAGGGTTAAGTAAATTGACCATTAGCATTCTTCTCCCATTTCGAAGCTAAAGCACAACTACTTTTTAAAACACCCTTCTTGTAAGATTATCCTGGCAGCATAAACCACAGTTTACCAGAATTTACAGAAAAATGCCATCCACCGGTCTTCAAGGTATATACATAAATGAGTGTAAGCCTCTAACCAACATTTGTGGACATACTTTATATACTGATACTGACTAGATTTCTGTAACTGTCCCACCTTTTCACATGCTCATGGCATGCCAGGCCTCTCCTTCCTACAGTTAACCCAGTTTATAACATGACATTGTGTGTGTTGATGTGCTTAATTCTGCCTTTCATAACAACCTGTCTCATGATGTCTACGGGCCCCATGAGGGCTGAGACTGCGTCACTTTTGACTCAGCATTCTAATGCCCACGGCCCTGCCTGAAGAGGCTGGAAAAGGAAGAAAGGGAAGGGAGGCAGGGAGGGATGGAGGACAAAGAGCCAGGCACGGTGCTGGGGACCAGGAACGCTTAGTCCGACAGCTGTGGAAGTGCTCACAGCCCAGCAAGGGGAAAGCCTGGGTCCGCTGGAGAAGGGCAAGCGCAGCAGAGGTTAGAAGACTGTGGGAAGGCAGGGACAATTCAGAAAAGCTTTCCTGCAACAGACCGTGTCTCTATAGCTGCTCCAGGGACTCTGGCTTTAGGATTTTTTTTTTTTTTTGGTCAAGGGCAGGGACGGCAGGGAGGCAGGGAGACACAGATCAGACCTACACTGGACGGGAGGCCAGGCCCAGAGGCGGCATTCCTTGCGAGAAAGAAGAGACAGCTCTCACTTCCAGAAGACTCCGCCACCCTCACCCAAAACCCATCACTGTGTACCTTAGATTTCCCCAGATTCATACTAGCAACAGAACAAATGCCCTTCTATTCCTATTTCCCGGATTAGGGCTGTGGGCCTGTGTGCACGTGAGAGAGACAACGACGAGGGGGCCGTCAGTCCACCGTGGTTGGCTAAACACCACCACGCAGAAGTGCGTGGCTAAAACAGTGGGGTAGAAGCTGCCATCCCGAGGCCTGCCCTGCAAAATGGGATCTGTCTGTCTTCACCAGAGAACCATGATAAACGAGCAAAGACAGACACTGGTCAGGACAAGCCACTTTATTTAAGAGCTTTGACAGCCCAAAGTGGTTTTACATAGAGGCACGGAAGATTTATCTAGATGATAAAATACCTGAACTTGAAAGGCACATAAATTATCATTTTGCAGGGTTTTTTCCTTTTAAGATTTCACATAGTCAAGTGCTTTAAGTAATGAATGAAATGCACATAAGTTGACTTAACTTTCACAAGAGTTGTCTGGCTAGTGACTGCGGAGAGTCTTTGCTTCTCCATGGGGCTGAGTTCAGAATCAACGCCACCCGTCTGTGTCTGCCACCTTCTGTTTCCACATCACAGTGGAGATCATTTGGAGGACTGATAAATACGGTAATAACAGCAACTATTACTGCCTGAGCACTCACCATACCACAGTCTGCACACCCAGGATAGGAGCATTACGTAATCCTCCCAACAGCCCTGGGAGTTCGTACTATTGAAAGAGGACTTCATCTACTTCCCTTTCCACCTCAAGCTTCCTAATTAAGTTCTTCCCACTTCATCTCTTAACTAGGCAAGAGACCCTGCAGGAAAGCATCCCCGATGGGAACCGAAACTACCCTGTCAAGCCATAAGGACTGCCCTGAGCCACCAAGGCCCCCAGGACTGACCCCAAGACACTCATCGACCTGACCTTCACTGCCCACCTGCCTGTACCCACTGACCTTTGTCCCACCTTTTCCTTATATAAAGGAAGTATTTTTGGCACTTTGGCAATAATCTTTAAGATGTTAGTCTGCTGGCTCCCTGGTGTTGGCCTCACTGAAATAAATTCCTTTCTTGTTTCACCACCACTGGTCCCTCTGCCTTTGCATTTTGTCAGCGGTGAGTGGCCAAACCTGGTCTGTTTGAAACCCTCCAGAGCCAGGTACTCTTGCATCCCTGCACCCCTGCTACACAATGATTCCCATTTTCCCGATGCAAAAACTGACCTTTTGAGAGTTACTACGATGCATGTGAGGTCACATAAGCAATTTTATCAGACTCCAAAGCTGCAGTGTTCACCACAACGCTGCAACATACATGAAAATACTTGGCCATGAGCAAGTACTTGAAAACACTAGCTATTTTGCCTACCTTCATACTCCTTTTTTTTTTTTTTTTAGATTTTATTTTTTTTGGAGTTTGGTGTGGGGGGGGGGGGGGGGGGAGGTAGTAGAGGAAGAGAGGGAGGGACCAGCAGGCTTCCTGCTGCACGTAGAGTCGGACATGGGACTCCATCCCAGGACCCTGAGATCACGACCTGAGCCGAAGTCAGGTGCCCAACCAACTGAGCCACCCAGGTGCCCCATACTCCTTTCTTTTAATCAGCACACTTTAACACAGAGAAGTCTGCCTCTCGGGTTTATATTCATTCATTCATCCATTCACCATTCATTCTGGGCCCAGTACTCTGCTGGATGCAGGATTTACAGGACTGCATTCCCCAGCTCCCTGACCAGTCTTAGGCAATTACCAAACCCCTATGAAGATCAGCATGGGGCAGGGGCAGCCCCTCACAGGGGACCCACACCGAGCTGTGGGTTAGAGATACAAACTGAACAAGACAATTTTAGATCTTTTTCACCCTGGTCCCCACCCCCTCCCTTACCCCTTAGCTTTTGCTCTGTTTCTCTGGCGAGAGTCTTCCAAGACCCAAACTCCAGGCCTTCTGACATGTGGCTCCCCAGGAGGCCTTTTATCAGCAGAACGTTCCTTTCTCTGGTCTGGGCTGAAGCTTTCCGGCAAAACCAGTGCCACAGATAACCCAGCTCCTCAGCTAATCGCCCTGCACAGACCCACAGAGCCACCCCCTCACCCCTACCTCCCACCCTCCCCCTGCCTGGTTTCACAAATTTTTGCCCAAAGTAAGGAATAAGAACACTAACATCAGCAGTAGCAACTTCCTACATGTTAGACACTGCTCAATATATTTTGGGTACACTAACTCATTAAATCCCATAATCCTCTGACCTAGGCATTATTATTATTCCTATTTTAGTTCATTTAGGGGAAGTGGGGGTTAATATTTCTTCAGGGCCACCTATATGCCAAGCATTGTTAAGTTTGCACAATCAGAGGATAAGTGATCTGCTAGGGTCCATCACAAAGCTGGGAAGTAAGGAATAAGAATCTGGACCCAGGGGCACCTGGGTGGCTCAGTCAGTTAAGCGTCTGCCTTCGGCTCGGGTCATGATCCCAGGGTCCTAGGATTGAGTCCCACATCGGGCTCCCTGCTCAGCGGGGAGCCTACTTCTCCTTCTCTCGCTCCCCTTGCTTGTGCTCTCTTTGTCAAATAAATAAAATCTTAAAAAAAAAAAAAAAAGGAATCTAGATCCAGGTCTGCAGTGGCCTGGCCTACGGTACCCCTTCCCCACGGTCTGCAAGGGGGAACAGAGTGGCTGCACAAAGACAGCCCTCTCCCCCTCTTCCTCCAGCATCCTTCTGTTAACGTCTGTCCTCTGTTTTTTTTACCACTATCCACAAACGGTTCCAGATTCCTCTCTCAACTGTGTTCCCTCACTCTCCGGGCCTCCCAGCCAGTTTTCATGGAGGAAATCCTAAAGCCTACAGCAACAGTGTAAACAAAGCCGAAGAAGAAACTGGGACCCTTCAAGCCAATAAAATACATGAAGAGGCTGACACGTATTCCCTGAAGTACCCAACCCCCTTCTAAATCCCTGGAGTTTCAAGATCTGAGGGGTCCTCAGCTAGGGACCAGAGAGTTACTGCCTCTGGGGAGGTTTTTTTGGCCAGCTGTAGGGGGTGACGCCACCAATGAAAGTGAGCAAGTAACTGAGGGTCAGAATGTAAGCCCTATGTTCTGGGGGCTCATGGAACTGGCAATAACAGATGAGGCCTTTCTGGGAAATGGGTACGTGGCCAGGGAAGCAGAGGGGCACTCCCAGCAAGGCCAGAGGGTCAGAAGCCCTCCACTGAGCTCCCAGAGCGCTGAGCCCACAAGCTGAAACTCCGTTTACTTCACCTAGCCCACCCTACATGAGCTCCAGGAGGGCAGGCCTGCGTCAGATTTCTCTCTGAACCTTCAGGGCCCGTCAAAAGTGAGTTCTAGTCAAATGCTTCCAGAATAAATGATCAAACCAGGCATCATTTTAGAGACCAGACTGAGAGATTCTACTCAGACAAGGGAAGAGGACTCCAGGAGAGGGGAAGTGAGTTTGCTCAGAGGCAGGCACACACTTTATAGTCCAGATCAACATCCTAATCCATCCAGAAACGTTTCCACCCTGTACTTCATTTACTCACCCCTGGAACACCGCTAAGTCATGTAAATTCAACAATTCAATCTTCAATGGGCAGGCACGGTCCTATTTTACAGAGCGGGAAGTTCAGCAACTGGTTTCCCCACGGGCCTCTGCAGGCAGGCCCCACTGACCTTCTTTCCTCAAACAAGCCACATTCTCTAACAAAATGTGTTTACTCTGTTGTTCTCCACCCTGGAACTGTTGGACTTATGTTGAAGTTTGCGCTCCAGCATACTTCACAGATGGGGACTGCCGGTTAAATGCTCGCCCGACACCCTGCACTTTGTATCTATACGGCTCTTACCACATTCTACCGCTTACACAATGTGTGTAGATTATCTACTGGCTGTGGGTCTTTCCCACTAGACTGTGAGCTCCAGCGCGGCGGGCACCATGTTCGCGGGCCCACCTCTATATACCCAGCACTTGGCCCAGTGGCAGGCACTCCGTGGCACACGGTAAGTATCTGCTGGATACGTCTTTGTATCTGCAGGCTGCCGGAGTTGGGGAAGATGGGACCCGAACTCCTGTTTGCCGGCCTCGGGTCGGAGCGATAGGGGTACTGGGGCTTGGGCTGACCACGCTGCGGCGAGAATGGGCGGCGCGAGGGGGTACAGAAGAGGCGTTCTGGCGTCCATCCTACCCTGGACTGCTGCCGGGCTCCGCACCCCGCCGCCACCTGTCGCCCCTCCGCGCCCAGGTGTGGGCTCGCTAGGGCTAAGGCGGGCTGGCGGCACTTACCTTCGCGTGGCGGGGCTCCGCAGAGACTCTCTGTGAGCCTCGGGGGACTGCCAGGGACTGGGGTATCCGCCGCACCGAACCCGGGCTCCTGGCCCGCCCGCGGCCCTGCACCGGAGGACCGCGCGGGACTGCGCCCGCTCTCGCGACGCAAGGCCCTCTCGGCCCGGCTGCCCCGGGACGAGCCCGCCCCGCCCCCGAGCGCCGAGGGGGCCGGGCCTAGGGTGAACTTGACCCCACGCTCCCCGGGCGCCCTGCCGTGGGCGGAGCCAGAGGAAAACTCTGCTCTACGCCCCGCCCCCTCGGTAGGGGCTGTCCCTAAGGGGGACGGGGCCCTGCGCCCCGCCTCTTCGAAGCCCCGCCAGCCCCACTCCCAACCCCACCTCTGCTTTCCCGCACTGGTCTTACTGTGTTGTGTGCCTCTTTCCTTTTAATTTTCCTGTTTTGTGTTCCCGTTTTCTTATTTTTATTTCTTATAATTATTTTCTTATAATTATTTAATCTTATTTTATTTCTTATAATTATTTATTTTTATAGGATTGAATTAAAAGATACAGCAAAGTAATGCATGAACACTCTTTACAAAATAGTTACCTAAATGTTCTTATAATGAAAGCAACAGGCCCTTCTCCCTTTCTCCCCACACACAGCCCTTTATATCAGTTCCTCCATTTAGTTCTTCTGGTGGTCACCCCCTTACCACTAAAAAAATAAGCTTACATAGCGATTTCTTGGTTTATCTATTGACTTTCTGCCATGTTAGATGAGGATTTACTCTCTTTCTGTGCCCCTGCTTCCCTTCCCCTGACAAATTTACACCTCTATTCTTAAGTCCTGCCCTGGTGAGCTCTGATACCTCAAGGCAGGAGTAGAGGAAGGTTTTCTGGGACCTGCAGCTAATACAATTGTGGGGGTAGGGAGAAAGGAAGGTTATTTTAGAAAGGCTTACGGAATTAAGGCTTGCAAATGAACATTTATTTAGAATGAGCAAAATCCTGACACCAAGGAAATTCAGGTCTCTGGCCCCTGATAATGAGGGAACAGAAGGCTAACTGAAGACAAAGCACAAGCTGACACCCTGCAACCTCCCCCCCACCTCCCATTCCTGGGTGGGACATGTGTGACATTCTTCCAGGAATCTCCCAACTATCTTAATGTTAATACCTTGCCAAAGGGAAAAACAACCTTATCTTGATAATAGCCAGGCCTCCAGTATCCTGAGGGTCTTCTTTAACATATGAAAATCCTTTTGAAATCTCCCTTTTCCTTACTTCCCCCAACTCCGGAGTATATAATCAGCCACTCCTCAAGACCCCGGTGCAGCGACTGTGTCCGCCCATGGGTGTTGTCCCTGTGCTTTAATAAAACCACCTCTTTGCACCAAAGACATTGGTGCTCGGCTCCAGACCTCACCCCACCAAACCTCACCTATATTCCAAAACCCCATCACTGAGACCTTCTTAGATAATTTACTTCCTGAATTTGCTTCTCCAGTGTGGGTTGTCTTCCTCTGCCCATGCAGAATCCTCCATAACCCCCAACCCTCTCAGGGGTCATGGGGTGAAGGTCAAGATTCATCTGTTTCTGCCAATATGATTTCTTAATGAAGTGAACTAGAGTGTTTAAGAAAGAGAGGAGTCAAGAATGATGTCAAGGTTTTGTGATTGCTGCACAGCTTTTCCTAGCATCAGTGACAAGTTCTTAAGCTTAGTAGGAAGAGTGTTTTATAAAGCTGGCTCTGGGCCCCTGCCTGGTCACAGTGCTCCAGTGAGGTTGGCTGGACCTGCTCACTGTCCCCACTTTAGGAGGGCTCGTACTGATCCCTCTTGTATCAAAGCACACAGCTACTCCCCAGTAAGGGCCCAGGTGAAAGGGCTTGGTCCCCCCTCCTCAGATGGAAGAAACAGTGTCCTCACCCTCCCTGACACCCCTTCTCTCTTCAGGGTTCAGCCGTTTCCCCTTCCTCTGCTCTGCCTTCCTTCTCTTCCACTCACTCTCCTCTTCCCCCTGCCCAGCTCCTGAGGGTAGAGGACTTGGGAGTAACTCCAACTGAGGATGTGAAATGTGGCTCTACAAGGTGACTTTGGGCAAAGTTACTTTTCCAATCCAAGCCTGTTTCCTTCTCTGAAATTGGAGATACAGTCTCTACCACATTCAGTTTAGGGAGGATTAAGTGGCTTAATAGCCATGTATACAAGGATTTTTTCATTTTTAAAAAATTTTGTTTCTCTAACTCACAAATTTTAAATATTAAAATTAAACATTGAATATGAAAATTAGTCACGCTTCTCTTTTTTATTGCCCCTGGATTTTGTGTCATACTTAGAAAGGCCATTCATTCCCACTCTAAGATTTTTTTTTTAATTCAAGTATAATTACCTTTGGATGTTCTTTTATTCATAACTCAGTTTGTCTCCTAGCAGAGTAGAGGAAGGCTCATGAGAAAGGTTAGGGACTTCTAAGAATCTGTGTAGCATGTTGGTACCATAGGTTGGATTAAAATGAAGGACTAAATTGGGATGCTTGGCTATCTCAGTTGGTGGAGTGTGTGACTCTTGATCTTGGGGTCTTGAGTTTGAGCTCTACGTTGGGTGTAGAGATTACTTAAAAAAAAAAAATCAAAGGCTAAGTCATGTTGAGTCAGAGTCTTGACCCTGGACACAAAGAGCAAGAGGGATACTGGGCAGTGACTTCCCCACGCAAGGGACTCTTCTTTTCCTGGGGTAGAGAAGACTAAGTCTCCTCTAGAAGGATGTCTGTCTTCTGGGCACAAAATAGTGTCTTCTGGTGGTAGGAGGTAGGACTCTCACACAATAGCCATGCTTACTCTAACCTAAGTGAGGGAGGAGCTGAACTCTTCAGAGAGACTGGAGAGACAGTTAGCTCCTAATATTTTAGAAGGGGAATACATATCTAGATCAGAGTCATGTCCTTTGCTTGAGGACAGGAAGGGCAGCTACTGGATTTTGGGTTTAATGGGGATGAAACTTTGGGTAAGTTTCATTTTTCCTGAATCCTATCATCATGATGGCTCAGAAAGGAGGAGAATTTCACATAGAGGGTGTCTCAGTTTGGGTGCCTTGGAAGCAGATCCTGAGACAAGGATTCAAGTACGATTGGTTTATTTGGGAGATACAGGGAACACCAGCAGAAGAATGGAGAAGGATGAAGAATGGAGGGAAGAAAAGGCAGTCCAGTAAAGGATGAATTGTTAAGCCAGCTACTAGATTGGAGCTTAATCCTGTGAGAAAACTCTAGAAGTTGTAAAGCACGTGCCTCGGAATTATTCTACCCAAGAAAAGGCTGCAGGTGCGAGGTCTCTAAAGAGAAAAAACTGGAACGGACAGATTAGCTCATTTTTGAACATTTTTCAAATAATTTCTAGGCATAAAAATGTGGTCACCCAGTGAGATCAAGCTGTAACACTGTGTTTATTTTCCTCCTATCACCTAACAAGGGTGTTATGACAAAGTTTCAGTAGGAGCATTTGGGGCAGTAATCAATGCGCAGATAGCTGAGAGTCAGTGTCTCAGGCCCAGAAGTGTGTCCTGAGGACATTCTGGAAAACCCGCTCTCAGACAGATCGTGATGGGACTTCAGCTGGATCAGCCTCTGCATTTGGATGAGCCCATAATCTTGACTTCTGAGCTCTCACAAGAAAGGGCATGCTTTGGCTGAGTAAAACTAACACGTAAAAAAAAGTGACTGGTGGACTTTTAAGATGACCAACGAGGGCAAACTTTTCAATCACTGTAAGTACTTCAGAAGATGGGTGTTTCCTCACAAGCAGTGAACAGATAATGCCAATGCCAGGTTTTTCTTATATGGCCTCTCAAGCAGGCTTCCACGAGAAAGTTCTCATTTTGTCAACCTGGCTTCATCAGCCATACTTGCTATTGAACTAAAGTGATCCTTTTAAAACATGAGACAGTTTCCAATATGCCCCTGACTCATAAGCCCCCCGTGGCTTCTACCACAATTAGGGTCAAATCCCTAATGGCCTTCTCAATGGCCTCCAAGGCCCTCACGAGATCTTCCCCGACAAGCTCTTCCTGACATTGTCTTCTGACAATGACCCCTGGGCATTCCTCACCTCCAGTCTCCTTGGCTTTGCTGTGTCCCTGTTGTCCCTGGAACACACTGGGTCTGTTTGCACCCCAGAGTTACTGCACGCCTGTACTCGCTGATTAAAATGCTACACTCCCCCGACTCATAAGGGAATTTGCCCAAATAACCAACTTTCTAATAGACCACTAACTGACAAACAAACACTCTCATACTATCCCATTCATAGCACTTATTATCTGTCATTGGGATAGATTTTTAGTTATTATTTGTGTAATAAATAAGTATAAGGTCCAAAAGGGGCTGACTATATATTTTGTTCCCTGATAGAACAGTGCCTGATGCCCAGTAGGTACTTAATAAATATTTGTTGAGTGAATCAATCAATTGAATTGACTGAACAAAAAATATAAGCAAAATCAGTAAATACATAGCTCAAAAATATTCTAGAATGCGGACTTTCAATGACTCCAGATTGGATTCCTGTCAGAGAATTGTTGGAGCAGAGTGAGAAAAAATAAAATAAAATGAAGTGGTTGAGATGCATTATATAATCAGATTCATAATTACAGGTGAGTGCTGGAGTGAGGACCTTTGCTATTTTGTCTTTGACCCCATGTCTGTGTTAAATATTTAAGAAAAGGCTAGCTTAAAAGGCTACATACTCATTTAAAAGTAGTAAGAAGAAAAGTTTCCCCCAGTCATTTTAATAATTCAGAATGGTGTTCTGTGGCTTCTGGTGGCATTTGAGGGCCCAAGACGGTAACCGCTTACCCGAAAATAGAGGCCTTGATCAAATATTTAAGATCTCACTTATTTTCATTTTCTGCATATTTTTTTTATTCCTGTGTCCCACTTCTTTTTACCCATTCTGCAGCTGCACAACTCATACACTAAAGCTAATAGAAATGTTTCATGGATTATTAAATGCGGCTAAACAATGAGCTTTTGCTAGAACATAAGGCCAAACTGGGCCACTTTGCTATTCTAACAAACTAATTTTTCCTTGAAGGTGCAGGCTATGAATTTACAGAGAGGCCTCTCCCCTGTATTCCAAAGTTTCTTAAGGCAGATGCTTGTCTGATGCAAAGAGATTTTGAGGTGGAAAACAAAGACTCCCT